CTTCATCCGAAGATTCCCAAAAAAAAGTTTTTTCTGAGTTCTCAAAAAAAAAAAAAAAAAAAAAAAAAAACTGAAATATTGTAAAGTGAGGGCATGTTTGTTTGTTAGGAAATGAAGACCAAGTATTATTTAAAAAAAGGCAAGGTTGTTATGGCTTGGAGATTAGTTTTAGCTGGAAGCTTTCGATTGCTTGATCAATGGTGTAACTATTGACAATGATGCTACCAAAAAAGTACCTGGTAGACCTCCCGAACTTGAGGATTGAAAAAGAGCACGAACAGAGCCTTCTGGTACCTGAAACAAAGACAACGAGGTGTGTTCTCGTCGTCCCTCCGATGCTTAAGTCAGACAGAGAATTAATATGAGAACGTATACTGAAATTGTATGTAAAAGCGTACTTGAATAATGGATTTGGGTCATGTATTTATAGAGGTAGGTAGTGTACTTCTAGTAGGATTGAATTAGTTGGATGTTCCTATCCAATAGAGTCCTACTTGATAAGAGTATTTTTTTTGTAATATAGTTGCATGACCAATGACGTTGTTGTTGACATAGAATTCTTGTGGATGTCGGAGTCCTGGGTTGAGGTGTTTGAATTATATTAGAGTCCGTAGAAAGTAAGATTTCTTATGGGCTTGACAAAAGGGGGGTTCGGTATGAAGGGAATAGCTTGAGGACTCATGAACCCCGTATATCAAAAGGATGCTCGAGGACTTATTCTCGAGGACACCACCGACCAGATCATGATGATGCAAGTCGCCACTCCTTGGGTGTATTACACCGAGGACTATGTCACCCCGAAGACTATGTGCCCCAATATGTGATGAGCAAGACCTTGTGAGTCATTGGGAAAATCACCTCGGGAGGTTGGCAACAGTGACAATCAGCGACACAACATTTTCGAGAATACATGGTGACAAGTTTTAGCCTTCAATCGCTGTGTATTTCAAGAGACCCCAAACCTGCAAACCCATCTTGCCGTTTGTCAATGAGTTCAACCAAGAATCAGAAGAGCATTTATAAATTATTTTTTGGGGATTTTTTGAACTAGAATTTGTAGAGAATGGATTATTTTTTTTTTTATCCAAACTGCTCAATATCATACCTAACAGCTCAACTATACAAGCATTGACTCGAGAACTTAATCGAATGTTATGAAATGGACTTCGACGTTGTGCCGCAGAGCATCAAGAGGTATAGGAAATTGAAGGGTGTGGTTATGCGTAGCTGCATTAATATCTAATTTCAAGTTTTTGAATGGTTATCCGAAGCAATAGTTTATCCCTTTGCATCATTTTAAACAATAATACTAAAGGCAATGGGAATGTTATTTTTGTATATTCTGGATGACACATTGTTCCCTTTTGTAGCAATGTTCAGGGGCGAATCCAGGATATAAGGTCAGCTAGGGCGAATCGTTGACCGTCGACAATCAACGATCGTAATAGCGAGGTTGTATATTAATATTTAATTAAATAATATTAAAAACATTTAATATATATGTAAATGTACTGAAACGTAAAAATTATATACGTATGAGAATATAATTTAATACAACCTAAAATACTAAAAAAATACACAATATAATATAATTAAATAGGCATTAACTTTTGTTTCGGTTGAAAAAATTAATCTATAATCAGCAAAATACCCAATTTATTTTTCAATTAAAATTGATTAAAAAACAGAGCTCACACATGGTTGAATTGAGTCCAACATCTCCTCAATTAATTTTTTTTTTCACTTATCCTAATTTCTTAAACATAAATTCCCAAATCACAAATCAAAACTCAAATGATAAAATATAACTCATAAGTCAATGACTCGTACAACATAAATTATTTATCCCAAATCACATATTCACAATTCTCATTTGAATGCCAAATTAACTCATAATATAAACCATGATTCCTAAGTCATAAATTAAAAATTACACCAAAATCTAAAAAGATTAAAAAAAGAAAAAAAAGAAAAGAGAACAACAGAACAATGAAGGAGAAAGACGCTCACTACTCACGAGTCACGGGAGGTCTGACCGTCCAGTCTGGAGTCTGTCGACGGCCCGGTAGGCTGTAGTAGGAGGTGGAGGCGCAAGCGTGGAAGTTGGAACGGGATGAGATTTGAAACCAACAGCGTATTTTTTTTCAATTGATTTGATGCCTTCAAATTGGTTTTGTTATATATGGATCATTGGATAATTTGAATTGGACCTGGTTATTTAATAAAAAAGGCCCACAGCACAAACTATTAAAAAAAAAAAAAAAAAAAACAAAAAAAAAAACCTCGCCAGTCACCTTCTTCCTTCCACTGTTCCGGCGGAGTCCAGCATGCGCGGCTGCGTCCCCTTGCCGGGTGTTGGATCCACCGCTAGCAATGTTACTGTCTAAGTGACTTGGGCATCATATGCTTAAACATTTTTTCATTCATGTTTCACATAATTTAGTAATCAATACAGATGTGTGCGTCATACGCAAACATGCAAGGCATTCATCACTTCTCAATGATTTTTGTCATGTGCACATTTTATCTCATATACAATACAGACGTAGTTATTGTACGAATCAAAATCACAATACACATATACAAATTTTCATAAATTCTAAAAGGATTACATAACAAGAACATGGAATATGTACTCCATTTCAGATATCAGAAATGTGCAACATTCTTTAGCTGTGTGTATCTAAGTTAGAAAAGTATGTAGTGACAAATGAATAGTATAGTATTTCGGGCATTAGAGCCTCGATGTGAAGTTGTAAAAAATAAAATTCTAATTTCACATCTTATATATGTAATTTGCTGAGTGACATAGATATCATAACAATGCTTTTCCAACACACCAAAAAAAGATAAATGTACCAGGAACATCAACATTAATGAAAGTAAGATAAAATGATAAAAAACATTCAGCAGTGAAATACTGCATTCGCAAAACGGTAATTCGATGTTGGATGGAAAATGACGGTAAAATGTTGGTAAAATTATGCTAAAATGAAATTTCACGGACCGATTGATTGCACGACAAAAAAAGAAATTACCGGAACCAAATATACATTTCACCGATCTTGTCAACGGAGAACTCCACAAAATTTCCTCAAAGAATTGTACCAATTACCTTCTTAATCATAAAAATTAGGCAAGATCTTGTCCATTACATTACAGTTTAATGTATTTTTTTTTTTTTTTAAGCAACAAAAATAATCCATTTCAATCATAAATTGAACAATCGCGAGGGAAAAAATGATCAGGCGGGCAGTAACTTGTAAACAGCAGATCCTTCAGTATACATTTTCCTTCGTCTTTCAACATGTGAAAGGACTTTGCAACTTCCAAAAAAAAAAAAAAAGTCTCTTACAGATTCGGCATTCCCATTCCAGTTTTAGCATCATATGTTTTCTCGGAGACCAAATCCGACGGAGTATCCTTGGGACCAACAACTGTTGGCCTTGTTGTGGTCCTAATCTTCAAGATCTCCAATGAAGGGATTTAAGCATGCCTTTGCCGTGAAGAATCTGAACAGAAGTTTGTATCATTTTGAAATGTCATGAGATTTCTCTCAGATTGCCTCTCCCGTGAAGCGCCGTTACCTAGCACGAGATAGATATTAACGAATAAGGCTTACGGGGGTTTCCCCATTTTAGAGTTTAATAGATTTCTTAATATTTATAAATTCTCATGAATTGTGTGAAATTTGATAGAATTTAATAGATTTCCTAAGATTTGAATGGATTTCTATTTTGTAGATTTTAAAAGATTTTCATGGATTTTATAGATTTCAATGGATTTTATAAATTCTGAGTAAAATTTATAAATATACTTAACATAAGCCACAAATTTTTACTTCTTCTCTAACGACTCATTCTTACACATATTCACGTTAATAAATCACAGAAAATGATTGAATCCTTGTTCAATTGTTTGTTAAACATTGAATATTATAACAGAGTTTCAATAAAAAATACACCCAATATTCAACAAAATGCGAGAGTGGGAGAGGACAAAAATATGTTGTGTTAAATAATCAAAGTCGCAATCAATATGAATTAGTTCAAAATGCCATAACCTTGTGAGATACAAACACACAGATGTACACATACATGACCACAAGGCAATTAATTCCATACCCCCAGAATTCTAATTGACCATGCAGACACAAAAGAAAAAATTGTGGGATACCATCTTCACATGTCTTGGCTAGAATTTGCAGGTATATATAGAAAACACACAGCTCTTTCCAAGAAAAAGGAATAGGGAACAGAACTTGAAAGCGAAATTGTTCCAGTATGCATACTAGAAATCGTAAATTACCATGATAACTTCCAGCACATCTATAAAATAGTAAACAATACATAGCTTCGATAAGAAAAAATAAGTTCAATAAAAAATCACTCCCAATATTCAACAAAAAATAGTAATCTTTCATAAATTATCATCAATTGAAAAGTTCTCATACACGATCTTTTCACAGTAGAGAAATGTGAGATAGAAAGAAGAAGAAAATCTTGTTGAAGATTGGGGGGGGGGAAGAGAGAGAGAGAGAGAGAGAGAGGGGTAGCAAATATGGAGAGAGGTGAGAAATGTTGTGAAATTTTTAGGTTTGGGTTAAAATTGTTACTGATTCTTTGTACTTATATTTTTACTTTGAAATCCTTCAAAATCTATCTACTTAATGAAATCTTTTAAAATCAACTAGTTATTGAGGACATCTAAATTTCAAAACTACTTATTAAAATCTATGTTGAGGACACCTAAATTTATAAGTATTTTTAAAAATTTAGATTGGGGACACCTATATTTTAATGAATTATATTTAAATCCCAATTGAGGATACTTCAATTTTTATGGAGTTTTAAAATCCATCAAACTCTAGATTGAGGACACCCCTCTTATGCTATCAAACAAAATTTGATTACACAATTAACATGGAATTATTGTTTTTGCACAGGGGTATTGCTATTTCCATTCACGCTTTTTATAAGTACATCCACTTTTAAAAATTAAATTTTACTATTTTAAATCATATATAAATTTACTTAAATAGACATAAGTAATAATCAGCAGTCTGGGTAATATATATATAATATATATGTAGGCATAAGTATAATTTACTATGGATCCGTTGGGTTGAACGGTGGCTTCAACAAAAGAATCTAATCAACCCCTTCTCTAAATTTTAACAGTTACAGTAAGAGTAAGAATCTTAACAACGTTCTGGAATACAGGAAGATAAGTAAAGGTGGTAAAAATGAAGATGAACACTTTATATGTTTACTAGCAAGTTGGAGAATATTTTGGAAATTATTGCTGTTGGAATAAAATGCACAACCAATGTGTGTGTACACACACACACACACACACACACACACACACACACATACGGATTTGATCTACTAAGCACCGTGCTTAGGTGGCACAATAACTATCCACCCATGTATTGTGCCACCTAAGCACGGTGCTTAGCATAAACTAAGCACGATGCTTAGGAGATCGTTACTGTGTGTGTGTGTGTGTGTGTGTGTGTGTGTGTCTATTTAAGTAAACTTATATATGATTTAAAATATAGTAAAATTTTATTTTTAAAAGTGGATGTACTTATAAAAAGCATGGATGAAAATAACACTACCCTTTGCACAGACAATTAATGGAATGCATCGTAATGATGGGATATTAGATTTCAGTTACAAATGTAAATATGGAATTATATGGGTCAGTACTTTTGGTATAAATTTTATACCATTGTAGTATTTTATTTTTTTAACAATTGTAGTATTTTATGAAATATTTTTTCTAAGATGGGTATATATGATTTTTTCCCTTAGAAATAAGTGTTAGAGCCCAAATCTTATCACCCCAAGCCCAAAACAGAAAAATTAAAGGGAAAAATACACAATTACTAGACTATAAGAATCATATTTCATAACTAATAATTTTATAAAAAATGGTTTCAAAAATCAGGTGCGAAATGCAATATATAGTTCGTTTGAGCCGCATTAATATAAGAATGAGAATGAAAAATATAGTCATTACTGGCCCCATACAAGAGATAGATTTTCAAATAGAGGAAATTTCAAGAGGCCAGAATTTTAAAGATTCAATTTCAAAAATCAGAGATAAAATTGACACAGACCCTAATTTTTCTCCCCTCTCATTTTTCTCTCGACATCTCTCACGCACGGTAATCTCCTCTCTATCCTCTCTCCAT